AAATATGTTCACTACTTGGATAACTTTTTTATATCAATATCTTGAGCCAGTTCTTAAATGGCCATCAAATGAAAAGATAAGAAAACATTTGCCATTAAGTTTTAAACTAAAATATCCTGGAACAACGTCAATTATTGACTGTACTGAAATTTTCATACAAAAACCGAGAAATCCTAGTGCTCAAGCTGCAACTTGGAGCAACTACAAGAGTCATAACACTTTGAAAGCCTTAGTTGCCATACAACCTAATGGTGCATTTACTTTTGTCTCGAATCTTTGGTCGGGTAATATATCTGATCGTAAAATTACAGAACTTAGTGGATACTTGGACAAATTACAATATGGCGATGAAATCATGGCAGATCGTGGTTTTCAAATTCGAGACCTAGCGATTCAAAAGGGAGCGAAGTTGAACATGCCTCCATTTACAAGAGTTTCTAACAGAAGCATAAAAGGAAGAGTTCTGACATCCAAAGAAATTCAGGAAACACGAAAAATTGCATCAGTTAGAATTCACGTTGAGAGGGCGATTCGAAGATTAAATTCCTTTAAACTACTAGGACAAATTCTTCCACTTAAACTTAAAAACATTTCATCTCAGATGCTCAGAGTAGCTGCTGCTTTTTGTAACTTTTTACCCCCTCTCGTGAGAAAGTACAAAGCTTGAATAAAATGTTTATAAAGGAGATACATGTAGCTAGCCCACAGATAGCCATGTTTGTTATACTAACTTGTCATGTTTTACTGTTTGAACATAGGGTATTACTGTTAATGTTGTATGTAAAACAAATATAATTCATGATTGTTTGTTTTTATTCATTGTCACTTCTGCATACTGACAGGATGACATAACAAATCTATGTTCAAAACTTAGATAATCACATACCGGTACATGTGCACTTAGTTGGATAAAATGGAAGGTAGTATATAACTTTCATAAAAAATTTTAAGCTTTAATACAACATTGTTCCATAATGCTTCATTGAAAAAAGCTCTTTCAACATAAATGCCCTTGGTAGTGTACAGTACAAGATCACAATATGGTGCCTTACAGATCCCCATTTGTCCTAACATTTGAATGTAGTATGGGGAATTTACATTCTGTATCAGTTCCATTTTTCCATTTGATTCACGAAATGAGGGAAGTTTAGTCAGAGCTTCCTCAGGTGTCAAATCTCGCATTGAAAATGGACATTTAATTTCGAGTACACCTTGCTGACAACATTTACACTTCACAAGTCCATCGGGGGATGCTCCTAAATAAGGGAACTGTGGATTTAAGTGAAGTCCTGTTTCTTCACATAAAAAAGATGTGTGCAGATTGAACATCTTATCGACATACTGAGTTCTGGCAATGGCCTCCTTCTCGATGCCATATTGAGTTGCCTTGGTAGTAAAGTCTCCATACTTCCCAAGGCAGGATTTTACAATGCTGTTGTTTTCTTTACCTCCTTTATAATGGTAAGCTTTGTAAAACATAGATGCAGTGAGTCGCCCAAGTCTTTGACACTTCCACATTTGATTACTACTCTGACCAAACGTGCCTTCTCTGATTTGATCCTTATATTTATGTGTATATTCGCAAAGACCACTGTATCCAAAATCTCTAACCAAATCGCCTACGTTTTTAAAATTATCTCTTTCGATGTCCTCTAAATCTGAATCCGAATCAGAAAACGTGTACAAGACATCACCAGGAACATTACAGTTTTTCAAAAGCTTCACAATGTCTTTTTCGATTCTTTTCTCGTCTAATTGATCCTCTGGAATCGGAAAGTATCCATCCTGATGCGTTGGTACATCGAAGCGTGCTGTAGTGATATCAGCTCTGCAAAAGAATGATTACATGTAGTTATTGAATATACATGTATGCAACTAACATAGCTATTTAATAACTGATACACAATTATTTTATAAGGATGCTTTCATTGAAATTTAAATATCTGACTTAATTTCAAATGACCCAACCCTACACCTATTTTTACAATTTTCTCTAGTACATATATATCATATTCCCTTGTAAAAAAAATCTCTTATTATAAAAATTTGTCAAAATTAATCAACATCAATTTTAAAAAAATTAAATATTTTAAACCATGTGATGATGTCTCATTCAAATAATAGTAATACATATTAAAAGTCAAATATTATTGTTGTACCTAATATCTAAATCTTCTACAGCAACTGGCTTGCAAATGCGTTTTGGAGCCGTCCAGTAAGCTGGTACATCAGTAACCGATGGACCAGCACTGTCATGAAGATCGGTGCTGAAGGTCAAAATTCCAAAAAGTGCAGCTGCAACATGTTTACATGATCCATCACCCCTGAAATAACATTATCAGAATAAAAACATTTCTTTCAATTAACTTAAAAAAAAATTTGCAGAGTTATTATCAGACATTGATATAGGCAGAAACAATGTTTGGCTTGGACATTATGAAAACATTAAATTGAAATTTTTTTTTATTGTTTATAGTACATAGATGAACAATTCCATGCTCACGACTTTTGTCTATTTCTAAAACAAAAATTGTGAAAAACTGCCTATAAATATCTTTTTTTTTTTTTTTAATTTATTTATTTTCATAACAAACACACAAATATACAAAACCTTTCACACATCCTTTCATACATGTTGGAAAAGAAGACACTGACTAAGTATATTAACAATAATTAGTCAAGAACATTTTCAAAATTTGACACATTAAATAGACATTTCCAATTGGACCATCTTTTTTTATAAAAAATATTTTCTGACAGCTTTTCTTCTAAAGTATAGTAATTATATAGAACTCTCAAAATATCTTTGAAAACAATACAAGAGTTGTTTCTGGATTGCTGAAATAAATTTTTCTTCACTAACAGAATAATCAAGTTTATAGCCACATGATCTTTTTCAAAACTACCAAAAATAACAGTCTTTACATCAAATTCAATTCTTTTACCAGACTTTTGAAAAATCCAATCTGACAGTGCCAGCCAAACCACAGAAACTTGTGGACAGTAAAAAAATAAATGTTTAATTGTTTCTGGTTCTTGTTCACATATTGAACAAAGTGGAGAATCTTTAATTTTAGACAAGTGTAAGTATTTATTTGTACCTAAAATTCTATGAATAATTCTATAATTGAACCATATCAATGCTGAATCTTTAGTTAAGTATTTCAAGTTTGTATAAATATGTTTCCACTTAAAATCAGATTCCAACTTTAAATCAATAGCCCATTTGTTTTCACAAATAGGTCTGTGCTGTATTTTAGACATTAAATGATCATAAATATTTCTGGATCCTTTTTTATTCTGACAAAGTATTTTTAAAAATTCAGGTTGGTATGGTTTACCATAAGTAGTTTTTGACAATTGTTTGACATTTGGCCATGAGTATAAAACTGCTTGCTTTAGTCCCTCATAAGTAGTGAATGGCAACTTAACTAAATAATCGTTTGTGATACTTTCATAACTAATAAAATTGCCTTCTGTATCAAATAAATCATGTACTACATGGAACCCTTTTTCATACAATGTCTTATAAAATATCACTTCTTAATACTACATATAAAATTGCTTCATCATGTATAGCAAATAGGATTAAAAACGTTCTCAACTATTTAATTCATGACAATCAAAAGGGCTTTCTTAGAGATAGATTTATTGGGGAAAATACACGAATGATCTATGATGTAATTAATCCCACATATGAAAACCATATTCCTGGTATGATATTACTAATAGATTTTGAAAAAGCATTTGACTCCATATCATGGAAATTTATGTACAATACGTTACAATTTTTTAATTTTGGCCCTGACCTTATTAAATGGGTTTCAGTACTATATAATAAAGCTAAATTATGTGTTATTCAGAATGGCATTTTTTCTAAATTTTTTGAAATCGGTAGGGGGTGTCGTCAGGGTGACCCGATATCTCCTTACTTATTTAACCTTTGTGTAGAAATTTTAGGACATAGGATACGACAAAATAAAAATATCAAAGGCATTAAAATAGGGAAGGAAAAAGTCTGTCTACTACAATATGCAGATGACACAGATCTTTTTTTGTATGGATCAGAAAAGAGTTTAAAAAGTGCACTTGATCTTCTTTTTCAATTCTCAAAATTCTCCGGATTAAAGCCTAATATTTCAAAAAACAAAAGCAGTCTGGATTGGATCTAAAATTAAAACAGAAAATACTTTATGTAGTGATACAGGATTAAAATGGACAAATGAACCATTTACTGTTCTAGGCATAACATACACTGCAAATCTTGAAAAGATGGAAGAGCTTAATTTTGATAACAAATTTAAACTTATTCAGAAAGAAATAAATCATTGGTCTAAAAGAAATATTTCACCTTTAGGAAAAATAACGGTAGTAAAAAGTTTGCTTTTATCAAAGTTTACACACTTATTTATTTGTCTTCCAAAACCAAGTGTGCAGTGGATACAGCAACTAGAAAAAACTCTGTATAAATTCATATGGGGAAATAAAATTGACAAAATATCCCGAAAAACGTTACAGTTAGACTTTGAGAGAGGTGGATGTAGAATGACTAATATAGAAACATTTATTAAATCCCTAAAATTAACATGGATTAGAAGAATATTTACAAATAATTCAAACTGGATAAACATTTTTTCTGAAATTACTGGTTGTAATATTAATAAACTTTGTCAGGTTGGATCTGAATATTGTAAACAAAGGGCAAAAATCATACAAAATATTTTTTGGAAAGAAACTTTGCTTTATTTTGCTGAATTTTTAGAAAGTTTTAATTTTCATGATGTAGATATATTGTTAGAACCATTGTGGTATAATAATAAGATAAAGATTCAAAATAAATGTGTATTTTATAAGACATTGTATGAAAAGGGGTTCCATGTAGTACATGATTTATTTGATACAGAAGGCAATTTTATTAGTTATGAAAGTATCACAAATGATTATTTAGTTAAGTTGCCATTCACTACTTATGAGGGACTAAAGCAAGCAGTTTTATACTCATGGCCAAATGTCAAACAATTGTCAAAAACTACTTATGGTAAACCATACCAACCTGAATTTTTAAAAATACTTTGTCAGAATAAAAAAGGATCCAGAAATATTTATGATCATTTAATGTCTAAAATACAGCACAGACCTATTTGTGAAAACAAATGGGCTATTGATTTAAAGTTGGAATCTGATTTTAAGTGGAAACATATTTATACAAACTTGAAATACTTAACTAAAGATTCAGCATTGATATGGTTCAATTATAGAATTATTCATAGAATTTTAGGTACAAATAAATACTTACACTTGTCTAAAATTAAAGATTCTCCACTTTGTTCAATATGTGAACAAGAACCAGAAACAATTAAACATTTATTTTTTTACTGTCCACAAGTTTCTGTGGTTTGGCTGGCACTGTCAGATTGGATTTTTCAAAAGTCTGGTAAAAGAATTGAATTTGATGTAAAGACTGTTATTTTTGGTAGTTTTGAAAAAGATCATGTGGCTATAAACTTGATTATTCTGTTAGTGAAGAAAAATTTATTTCAGCAATCCAGAAACAACTCTTGTATTGTTTTCAAAGATATTTTGAGAGTTCTATATAATTACTATACTTTAGAAGAAAAGCTGTCAGAAAATATTTTTTATAAAAAAAGATGGTCCAATTGGAAATGTCTATTTAATGTGTCAAATTTTGAAAATGTTCTTGACTAATTATTGTTAATATACTTAGTCAGTGTCTTCTTTTCCAACATGTATGAAAGGATGTGTGAAAGGTTTTGTATATTTGTGTGTTTGTTATGAAAATAAATAAATTAAAAAAAAAAAAAAGATATTTATAGGCAGTTTTTCACAATTTTTGTTTTAGAAATAGACAAAAGTCGTGAGCATGGAATTGTTCATCTATGTACTATAAACAATAAAAAAAAAATTTCAATTTAATGTTTTCATAATGTCCAAGCCAAACATTGTTTCTGCCTATATCAATGTCTGATAATAACTCTGCAAATTTTTTTTTAAAGTTAATTGAAAGAAATGTTTTTATTCTGATAATGTTATTTCAGGGGTGATGGATCATGTAAACATGTTGCAGCTGCACTTTTTGGAATTTTGACCTTCAGCACCGATCTTCATGACAGTGCTGGTCCATCGGTTACTGATGTACCAGCTTACTGGACGGCTCCAAAACGCATTTGCAAGCCAGTGGCTGTAGAAGATTTAGATATTAGGTACAGCAATAATATATGACTTTTAATATTTATTACAAGTATTTAAATAAGACATCATTACATGGTTTAAAATATTTAATTTTTTTAAAATTGATGTTGATTAATTTTGACAAATTTTTATAATAAGAGATTTTTTTTTACAAGGGAATATGATATATATGTACTAGAGAAAATTGTAAAAATAGGTGTAGGGTTGGGTCATTTGAAATTAAGTCAGATATTTAAATTTCAATGAAAGCATCCTTATAAAATAATTGTGTATAAGTGTATTAAATAGCCATGTTAGTTGCGTACATGTATATTCAATAACTACATGTAATAATTCTTTTGCAGAGCTGATGTCACTACAGCACGCTCTGATGGGCCTACACATCAGGATGGATACTTTCCAATTCCAGAGGATCAACTTGATAAAAAAAGGATCGAAAAAGACATGGTGAAACTTTTGAAAAACTGTAAAGTTCCTGGTGTTGCCTTATACACGTTATCTGATTCAGATTCAGATTTAGAGGACATCGAAAGAGATAATTTTAAAAACACAGTCGATTTGGTTAGAGATTCTGGATACAGTAGTCTTTGCGAATATACACATAAATATAAGGATCAAATCAGAGAAGGCACGTTCGGTCAAAGTAGTAATCAAATGTGGAAGTATCAAAGACTTGGGCGACTCACTGCATCTATGTTTTACAAAGCTTACCATTATAAAGGAGGTAAAGAAAACAACAGCATTGTAAAATCCTGCCTTGGGAAGTATGGAGACTTTACTACCAAGGCAACTCAATATGGCATCGAGAAGGAGGCCATTGCCAGAACTCAGTATGTTGATAAGATGTTCAATCTGCACACATCTTTTTTATGTGAAGAAACAGGACTTCACTTAAATCCACAGTTCCCTTATTTAGGAGCATCCCCCGATGGACTTGTGAAGTGTAAATGTTGTCAGCAAGGTGTACTCGAAATTAAATGTCCATTTTCAATGCGAGATTTGACACCTGAGGAAGCTCTGACTAAACTTCCCTCATTTCGTGAATCAAATGGAAAAATGGAACTGATACAGAATGTAAATTCCCCATACTACATTCAAATGTTAGGACAAATGGGGATCTGTAAGGCACCATATTGTGATCTTGTACTGTACACTACCAAGGGCATTTATGTTGAAAGAGCTTTTTTCAATGAAGCATTATGGAACAATGTTGTATTAAAGCTTAAAATTTTTTATGAAAGTTATATACTACCTTCCATTTTATCCAACTAAGTGCACATGTACCGGTATGTGATTATCTAAGTTTTGAACATAGATTTGTTATGTCATCCTGTCAGTATGCAGAAGTGACAATGAATAAAAACAAACAATCATGAATTATATTTGTTTTACATACAACATTAACAGTAATACCCTATGTTCAAACAGTAAAACATGACAAGTTAGTATAACAAACATGGCTATCTGTGGGCTAGCTACATGTATCTCCTTTATAAACATTTTATTCAAGCTTTGTACTTTCTCACGAGAGGGGGTAAAAAGTTACAAAAAGCAGCAGCTACTCTGAGCATCTGAGATGAAATGTTTTTAAGTTTAAGTGGAAGAATTTGTCCTAGTAGTTTAAAGGAATTTAATCTTCGAATCGCCCTCTCAACGTGAATTCTAACTGATGCAATTTTTCGTGTTTCCTGAATTTCTTTGGATGTCAGAACTCTTCCTTTTATGCTTCTGTTAGAAACTCTTGTAAATGGAGGCATGTTCAACTTCGCTCCCTTTTGAATCGCTAGGTCTCGAATTTGAAAACCACGATCTGCCATGATTTCATCGCCATATTGTAATTTGTCCAAGTATCCACTAAGTTCTGTAATTTTACGATCAGATATATTACCCGACCAAAGATTCGAGACAAAAGTAAATGCACCATTAGGTTGTATGGCAACTAAGGCTTTCAAAGTGTTATGACTCTTGTAGTTGCTCCAAGTTGCAGCTTGAGCACTAGGATTTCTCGGTTTTTGTATGAAAATTTCAGTACAGTCAATAATTGACGTTGTTCCAGGATATTTTAGTTTAAAACTTAATGGCAAATGTTTTCTTATCTTTTCATTTGATGGCCATTTAAGAACTGGCTCAAGATATTGATATAAAAAAGTTATCCAAGTAGTGAACATATTTGATATTTGACTGAGTGAGACACCAAACAGAGTTGATAGAGTTATGTTGTCTAATCCAAGTCTAAGTTTCAGCATAATAATTATAAACTCCTCCTTAAGACTAAGTTTTCTTTTCTTTCCTGGTTTTCGGCGTTTCTCGGTTTGCCACACCTTTTCACCACCTTTTCTTGAACCTTTCCAGGAGTTGACATTTTTGAAGAGCAAAGACACAGTGTTAATAAATCCTAGTAGGAAAGCCAATGATGGAAGTCCAAGAAAATGTTTAACTGTTTTGTCTGATTCAGTTATTTTGGAAGTTAACATGTTTCTTAGATTCTCTGCATTGTGCTCAAGTTGCTTCTTTAGTGACAGATTTTCCTCTTTCAGATTTTTGTTTTCTTTGGTCAATCTAGTACAGTTTGACTGAAAGAATTGCAGTTTGATTTAGTTCGAGGCATATACATTCATTTTTTAATAAAATTATAGCATTTAATCATATAAATTTATAGATAAAATGATATAAAATATATAATGTTACCTTTGCATATTAAGTCTGCTAAGTTTATAGAAAAAATTAATATGGTTTTACTGTATTGATTTGATGAAATAGATTATACAAGTTTTTTTTTGGAAATTATGGAGGGTATTTATTGAAAATAAAATAAACAAAATATTTAATTAACAGATGATAACAATAAATCAATAAAGAAGTAAATATAGATATATCTTCCTAAAAAACTCAAAGGAGAATTAAGAGTAACTTAGATAACTCTTTCTCATAAAAGAACAAAATACCAAACCAAAATATGAACCAAATTAAACAACATCTTTGTACCTCCAAAAGATCATTTTTGTTTTTAAGAAGTTCAATTTTTTCTTCCATACATTTGTTTTTTTTTTTTGTCAACATCTATATACCCATTTGACGAATAGCAATGGTCAAGTGGTATATTTTCTAAAATTAATGCAAAAGAACCATATGGAATTATTTACAGTTGACTCAAACAAACCAAAAAATTAACTTAGTAATTATAGGTTTTAATAATGAACAAATTCATTTTATTTTTTTACCTTGTTTTTCAATTACTATCATGGGCACTAGGCTCAAACTCTCTGACTGTAATTCCACCTCGCCTGCTACATATGGGTAACAGACGTTGGATTTTACAAAGGCATCCTGCTTTACAAGTTTGATATTTACAGCTGGTGTGATGTCAGCCAGAGGTTCTCCTGCGTGCAAAACCTGATTAATGTTAGGACTATACCTAGTGATTTTGGTGGGGATGCATGCAGAGTTATTTGTTTTGCGTGTAGTTTTTGAACGCTTATAGTTGTTATATCTGAAAAGTGTTGGGTACGGGTTTTCAGGAGTCGGTCTACCATCCACAAAATGATCTGAACAAACAACTAAGTGCTTCAAGTCGCAAACAGGGTTTTGTTTAACACTTTTGTTTATCTTTTCTTCTAGGCCGTCCCTTCTGATTAAATCAAGCCATTTCTTTCTAAAACTCGCGACTTTTGGGATGGGATGAAATGATAAATGTTAAGATTTAGTGTTATCAGAGGAGCACCCCTCAGCTATACAATGAACTTTAGGCATGCTGCTTATTTCACCTTGGATTCGTCTCTAGTGTAAACAAACTTATGCCCCGGAAATCTCGCGAGATTAAAAACTTTCTCGACTTTCTCGCAAAAGAGCTCCAGTAAGTTAGATAACCTTGAGGTAATCGCGATACTAAGTATTGCGATGTTTTAAATTTCACGCTGCAAGAAATTAATTCAAAATTTCGTATAAGCATTTAAAAGCTAAAAAAACAAACAATAAAATTTACGATGGATTTAATTTCGCGGAAAAAATAATAATAAATCGCGAACATAGCGAAATTGAAGGCATCGTAAATATTTGCCAATCTACAGTATGACGTCATTAATTTGATGCGTTTCTCTATTCAACAGAAAAAAAAAAACATCATTACAGTGTGATAAATTTCCATATAAAAAGAATCTTGTATACAAATAATAAAGAATAAACAATCAAATCTTTATATCCATATTGCATATTTTATTTGCTTCAGTATACATATATACATTTAATAATTCTACAAATTCAGTCAGGGGGATCCGACTTCCCCTCCTATCAGTATATATTTTTCGGAGAGCTACAGTTCTGCAGCTAACTTTATGCCATTCAATTAAATGAAATAAGCGACAAATCTGCATATCTATGTTTGGTTATTTTTAATGCATTATCAGGCTGATATTTCTCATAGGAGGCATACATGAGTATTTGATGCAATGATACATGTAGGCATAAATAGAGGGATATGCTTTACCGCATGCACCTTGTAGTTGAAATCAAAGCATGTACGTTTCAACTGTTTGGGAGAATCAATTTTTATGAGCGGAGAAGTTATATGCTTATAACATCCAAATTCATTGTCAACCCCCCCCCCCCCCTTGCCATAAAACTACTAATATTTCTTGTTTTTTTTTCAGCTTCAGTTTTTAAGCATACTATTTCAAGTCGTTGCATGGGAGATCATATGACTGCTCTACAATGAAATCAAGTGTAAAGAAATGCGAGGCGATAAATAGGAGGCAACCGCAAGAATGCGAGACATCGTGCAACGTATAGTGTATAGGAGAGCTCATGCGAATCTAAAACATTCCGATCACAAAGTCATGTGAAGTGCCCGTGCGCCAGTTGTGAAGGGGCTTTTCGTCAGCGACGTCCTCATTACTAAATAAATGCTACACTCTTTCTCTATATCCTTTGGCCTTCTTGGTTGCTGTCTCCTTCTTTGAAGCTTCTTTGGCCTTTGGCGACTGTAGTTGTAGCAGTCTTGCTTTTTGGCATCTTTCCAGATATTACATGTACATGTAACAATGATAAAACATATATACAACTGTACATCTCAGCTATCTCAGTATCTGTCCATCACAGATTACTTAATAAATATATATTATACATGATATACCCAGCTGTCTATACATTTACTAAATTAGAAAAAAATCTACTAAGTTCACGGCACACACTCAAAGTGTAACTTGGTAGAATAATGTTCCTATATGCTACAAGTAGGCACAGATAATGTGAATGCGCATGTATTATTCCACATGGTGCGCCGTGATTGAGGGATGAATAACGAATTCATTGAATAAAACCGATTACTACTCATCTTAACTTTCGTTTTCGTTTTGTTATTCTAGAAACTGACACAATGTCTTGGATGTATGTTGTTTTCATTTTGATATTCTAGAAACTGACACAATTTCTTGGATTTATTTCGGTTATCAAACAGTCGTAAGTGGAACATCTATTAGATATTTTTCTATGGACATTAGAAAAATAATTTAAATTGAGATTTATAAGTTTAAAGTACAAAGCAGCTTTTATTTAAATCCGTGGTGTACAGGTGTATATATAACGTGACATCCGGAACAATGTTTATACATATATTAAAATACGTTTTTGTATCTTTAAAAATACATGTATATCTATACTATCAAAGTATTAAGAAATAGGCATTGATAGTGTATCAATATATAAAAAACAATAATCTTCAGAAGCCATAGACCTATACAAAAAAATCAACTTTGATTAAATCATTTTTGCTTTGCAATGGTGGTGGTGTAACAGATCCTAGATTTGATAACCTCTCACTGAAGGTCCTTTTATTTACATCTACGTTGTTGAAAACTCACTAATATACATTTATTGCATGATAGTGAGGGAAATATGAAGACTTATTCAGCCAAGAAAATCACATTCCCCAAGGGCTTCGCCCGAGATGAAAATATATCTCTTGGCTGAATAAGTCTTCATGTGTTTCCCGAACATTCATGCAATGAATTGTTTATTATACCGAAACAAGCAAAACCTTTGAAATAAACATAAACTTTCAAATTCGGCACCTCTCACAAATTCATTTACCCTTTTACGTAAAGTTACTATAAAACCCTTTGTTCAACACATTATCATAAGTTTTGTGACGTAAACCAGGCTATTGTGACGTCTACTTCTTTCGGGAGTTTTTGTTCAACGAACGAGAACTATATTGCGGGAAAATACATTAGGTGTTCCGAAGAGGTGGAATATGAGGAAAAGCGTGCCGACGGCCGGGAAATATGAAGTTTTACGGCCCGATCACGTGATAACTTAGAACCAATCAAATAATGCGTTGTTTAGAATATTTATAATGAGGTATAATAATACGTTTTCTTTTCAACGTTTGAGCACCTGGCACTGAAAATAGATAAATTTTGTCATCCTTGCAATTGGTAAAACAGGTAATGATTTCAAAGTTGGTCAAACGTCTTGGGTTTCATGCAGGTATGCCTATGGACCATAACCTAATCTATATTATTATGACCTTATACTATTCTTTTTCCCCTTTTAAAAAATATAATTTCTCCTTTTAAATTTCTTTCACATTTGAACTCAAATTGAAGTCCAAAACCTAGACCAATATCATAATGGCCAACATGACCGTGTTGTTTTTGAAAAGCTAGTTTTCCCCATACTATAGTACTTAAATGTGTTGTGTAAAATGTTTATTTCTAAATTTTATCTTACCATGGAGTATATTATTTTAGAAAATATATCGAGAACCTGTCTTTTAGGATTAACTGATTGCCTGCTGATTTTACGCAACATTCGAGAATTTTTTTTAAAGAGATGAAACAATAAGGGCTAAAAATTTGAGTGTGCTTAGCCGTGCTTTTACCAATGTTGACCTAGCACATTGTTTTTTTTAAGTCTCATCCATATGCCTCTTCGATTTCACTTCTAATGCTGGCACAGGAACAGTCACTACTTTCGTAAGGTTCAAGTTTGACGCAGCGCAGCGAACAGGAATAGAAATCGGACCTGAAGCTAAACATGCCATTGTGACCGATCGTAGATTGTTTCCTGTATATTCTGATGTTTCCTCCTTTTGTTGTCCAAATCTTACACTAGGATTATGATTTCAATAAGCATGACTCAGCAATTATTTATACATATTAATATGACCAATCGTGACATTGTTATTCCTGGGAAAGGTAAATTGTAGAACAAACTTACTGCTAAAATTTGCTTCAAGTTTGTATGTAGTAATCACTGCTGCAAACTTGCTGCAGACATTTCTGCAAGCTTGCAGCATAACAATCTATACAAAGCCTCGGTGTTTGCAGGAAGTAAATGCAGCAAACATTTTATTCAAATGTGGTTTGCCGCAAACATTGGATTTTCTAAATATGGAAACCTTGCTGCAAGCTTGCGGGAAACATTGCTGCATGGTAACTTGCAGCAAATAATTTAGTTATGGGTTTTCGCACGGGGTCGCGCGTGTGGCGCAGTGGTTAGAGCGTCTGCTCTAGAGTCGCGAAGTAAGGAGTAGATCCTTCCATCGCGAGTTTGAATCCTACTGTGGCAATCGGAGGACCCATTTCGAAGTAGGTGCTGGCACGAAAAGATCCCTCCCTGTTTAATGGCCTTCACCAGCAAGTGGTGAGGTCTTCATATGAGTGAAAAATTCTCGAAAGGGACTTAAACAGTATACAAACAGATTTATAGCATAATTTGGAAAGAAATACATATAAAGAAAGTTAAATGCAAGAATCACGGAAAGATGAAATTAAAGTATAGGTTAAAATAATGAAAGATTTCGGAGGGAAAAAGATCATGAATAATATTTATAATCTGGTTGGTTATTTTGCTTACGTTGTCTCTTCGGGAATATATTGCTCATAACAGGAAAATATTAATTATATTTATTGCATACTTAGTAATAAATACAGGATTTTTGCATATATGATATACCTGACGTCACAATAGCCGTATCAGCCCTACAGGGCTGATATGGATTTGCAGGGCTGCAGCCCTCGACCAATATCAGCCCTCGGGCCTTCGGCCTTCTGGCTGATATTGGTGTCTCGAGCTGATACAGGATGTTATATGGAAAAGGGTATGTATTATTCTCTATGTAGAAGGTTGCAAGTGAAGACATACTTTCGGGACGTGTGGCCATGAGAGATAATTTTCGTGTCATTATATACGAGTGAGTCCAGTTTAAACACTCTCTGAATTACATGTAATGTAACCACGTCCTGTCAAGTAATTCGACCCGGCTTGTTTATTCTAAAAAAGTACATTTACAACCCTCGCTCTAAAACACTGCGCCATGAGCGTTATATTTGTAGCCTATTTACTGTCTTGTTTATTTATTCAAGTTTAAAGGAATATTATTAAAGGGAATATAAGAAGGATAATTTGTTAAGACTAAATTCGTTTTTCTTATTCCACTACCATGACTAATTAAGGATTTAAAAATCAGGATTTGACGATGACTGATTATTTGATTGTTGCGGCTATTGATTTTGGTACAACATATTCCGGCTTTGCATTTTCTACAAGAAATGATTTTCAGCGAGATCCAACCAACGTGTATGGACGAAATTGGACAGCAAGTAATCTTCGATCTAATAAAACAGCAACAAGCATTCTTTTCAACCCAGAGGGGGAGTTCGAGGAATTTGGATTTGCAGCAGAGGATTTATATTTAGATTTGGCAGCTGAAAAACAAGAGAGTGATTGGTACTTTTTCCATAGGTTCAAAATGCAGCTTTTTGATAAAATGGTAAGTTTTTTCGAGGAGAAGTCCATGCAGTGAAAAATTAAAATTCTTGTTTAGCCATCATTATAAGTATGCCTATGTAACACGATATTTTTTATATACATTGAAGACACTGAAATCAGATTTTCTGCTGGAATCAGAAAACGGAAAGACACTGCCGGCATTAAAGGTTTTCTCATGTGCTATCAAATACTTGAAAGATGAACTGTTAAAAGACTGTACACTCCAACAAACTGGCGTATCTATAGATGACATTAGATGGGTATTAACAGTGCCAGCAATATGGACAGATACAGCAAAGTCTTTCATGCGTCAAGCAGCAAAAATGGTAAAAATGTGGATATTTAAAACAAAAATACTTGGTACTGTAAAAGGTAACATTCTGTGTACTGTAATGTTTATCCTTTGCTTTCCATTTTGTTTGAAACGTTGGTTATACAGAAGACACATTATACATTCATGGGATGCCTAGATCTACATGGAATACATGTATATGAATAAAAACCAACATTCAAAGAATTCAGCCCCCCCCCCCCGATTTCGGTGTCCTAGTGGATGGCTTGTCATTATTTATGGCATATTGTCTTAAATATGAACGTCTTATTATATGTTATTCAAAGTCATCAAAAGTATTTTTTTTTTAAAATTATATCGAACATAGAAGTCAAGGTCAATGGTAAAAAAAATCATTACATGCTCAGAAACATCTTGTCACAGTGACAGGAAATGTCAGCTTATCAGCTTATGTTTTATTGAAAAAGCAGCTGTCAATGATGTCAGGTTGATTGGATTTTAATTTATGGTTTGGAATGGCTTAAAATTGAAATATGATGATTTTAAATATATTTATATTCTTAGGCTGGTATTGAAAACGACAAACTCGTAATTGCATTGGAACCAGAGGCAGCAGCGCTATTTGTTAAACATCTTCCAATTCACAAGAAGACTTTTGGAGAGTTGGGGGATAGTTTCGAAGCTTTCTCAGCAGGATCGAGTTACATCGTGTGTGATGCGGGTGGTAAGTAAATTTTTTAAGTGTCATTGTGAATGCATTTCAGGGAGTATTCTACACTATATCTGGATTAAGCATCCAAAATAAATTAACGGGACTGGTGTTTTTGATCCATAATATTTGTGATTTTTAACGATCTAAACCTTGATATTTATCTTTATTTCTATTAAAAAATTAATATCAAACCATTTTTTAGTTTGATTCATTCAACTCCTTATATTCAGCGGGCCAAGGGTGGATCATTATAATAAATGCAATCAAAACAGTCGCCAAGGGAAATCGTCGGTTAAATGTTGAAAGTGAAAATCGAAAAATGTTGAAATTACAATTAATCAAGGTGTAAAGCTTAAGAAATGGTATGTAGAATCCAAGCAAATAAGTATATAACACGCCTAAATATTTATGTAAGAAAATCGATATACGGATGTTGCGAAAATAGTTAAACTACACATACTTTGAATAAAGTATTTAAAATATTTCCTTACAATTGTGTACCTCGACATTTGGCGCTCGCAACTCACTCTCCATCATATGTCTAAATGATATCGAACACCAAATTCCTTGGCAGGTAATTTTTTTAGTTCCGGTAGATAGAGCGTGATACTTCCCATAAGAGGTTCAATTTATTTATTTTTCTAGATTTTTTTTACATGTTGCAAATTGCAAGAGCAAAGAATTCAAACAACCACCTATGTTGCTATTTTTTTTTTAAATATGCGACCGTGTCAGCAATTTACATGTACATGTAGCAAACAGTTGACCTTGGCCTGGAAACTATGCTGCCTAAGTATTTGAATGCTTGACTTACAGTGTAGGTTCCCATTTCCTATTCTTATAATAATTTTGTTTTTAAGGATCCGTTTCTCAGCGACTTATTTTATTTTTCATTTCGATAATTTACACCTATTTTTTTTTTTAACTTTCTTCGTTTTGAATAATTCATGTAGAGTTTTTTAGTTGTATTAAAGTACTAATTTAGTATTGATTTTTTTTTCTGCTCGTATATTAAAATAGGTTAAATAATGATTAAAAACTATCTTTGACACATGCTCTGTACTTTCAAAGACATACAGACGCCCCATCCCCCACCCCCTACACAGTTAGATAGCAACATGATTAAAAGTATTCTATATTTATTTACATGAAAGGTGGAACAGTAGATGTTACTGTACATGAGGTTCTAGAAGATGACAAATCAGTCCGCGAGATTAACAGGCCAACTGGGGGAAACTGGGGAGGTACAAATGTAGATGACGCATTTATAACCATTTTAGAAAGAATTGCCGGCGACAAAGTAATGAAGGCCTTTCAAAATCAACAGAAATATGATTTCATGGAACTGCTCCGCGAATTTGAAGTGAAAAAAAGAGAAATAAATTATACCATGAAGAAGAAAGTGACATTCAAAGTTCCAACATCATTTAAAGATGCCTTTGAAGCGGAAAATCCCGGTAAATCGTTAAGCGATATTACCTCTGAAATTGACGAGTTTAAGGACAAAATTAAATGGATATCAGATAAAATGCAGTTTTATCCAGATCTTGTCACTTCTCTTTTTGATGAGTCAATTAACAATATTTGTGGTCACCTATCAAACATCTTTAGCTCTAACAAAGTTAAGGATGTAAACTACATTCTGCTCATCGGTGGCTATGCAGAATCCCCATTACTTCAAAACGAAATGAAAAGAAGGTTTCCTTCAAAACGTTTAATTGTTCCACAAGAAGCTGGACTCTCGGTTCTCAAAGGTGCAGTAATTTTTGGTCATAATCCATTGCTTATTCGAGAGAGAATCGCGAAATTCACCTACGGAATTCAATTTCGACGTCCCTTTATTGAGGGAGTTGATCCAGAAGATAGTAAGACTTTCGTAGATGGAGAACCATATTGTAACAATGTGTTTGATATTCATATAGAAGCAGATGAATCTATGATTGTAGGGGAAATACAGTCCGAAAAGAAATATGGATCGAATTCCAAATCTACTGGTTTGTACGTCTACGCCTCAAGGGAGAACTCTCCAAATTATATAACAGATAAAGGTTGTTTCTTGCTGGGAAAAACATCACTCGATACGAACAAAGAAGATGATCTGGAAGTGCAAATGTCATTTAGTGGTACAGAAATAGAAGCCAAGATTTCTTGTAAAAACACAGGTCATTCAAGAGTTGTGTATATAAATAATTCTTAAAATTATCAGAAACTGTCAATGATACATGCACATATAGGATACAATTACTGGGATTCCATATTCAGAAATAATCTTGGATTTCTCTCTTTTTATTGAAACTTGTTCATTCGATACATATGAATTATTCCAACTTCTCTTATTTCCAACATTCTTTGAAGTAGAATGATTGTTATACTGCTAAATAAAAATAATAAACTTTTTAGCTCACTTGGACCATAGAAGCTTTTGTGATCACATTTATCCGGCGTCTATCTGTCTAGCTGTAATTTCCTCTCCTCTAGAGCAACTGGGCCAATATTCAACCAATATCTACTTAATGGCCTAAAACTATTCCTGGGATTAAAGTTTGTTTAAATAACGAACCACACCTAAGGAGAAATACGAGGGATTATCAAAAAGTTCGTGGACTGAGGCTATAAAATTAGTACTATGTAGTCTGTGCTTTCACAATTTATATGGAACATAAAACAACAAAAAATAAAGAAATGTTGAAAATTTTAGCTTGATACGTTTATTATTTTCCAAATTATTATAAAATAAAAAACGACATTATATGATCACCCGGCGCCGTCGCTGTTCAGTTTCATGACGTCCGACAACGTCATTGTTTATTTCAATGTCCTCTTCTTCTAGCTCATGCACTTTTTTGGATGAGATTCCCTGGAGCTGAGTAAGGACTTAAACCCGCCTTGTTTATACGACTCTACAATGTCATGAACAGCGGCTTTCAATAAATATAATATTCCAAATGGATTTATACATTTGGAGAGATTCTCGCTTGATTGTGCCAGTATACTTTGCTTTTGAGAGTTCAATATCTACACACATGATCAACATCATTTTTTTGACGCGATTAATTTTTTACACCTTGACTACAAATCGACATTATCTGTGTATCCCTTTTCTCTCTGAATATATTTTGACATTAAAAGACAGATATTCTGGATGCATATTATTTCTCTGTAGCCAGTTTAAACATTTCTTAGGTCTATACCATTTTTTTCAGGGGCAAAACTTGATAGAATGTTGGAAAAAGAAACCCCTCCCCCCTTTTGACGTCTTTTTCAATGCCTCATTTATTTGGATATTTCATGTAAAATCTACGATAAAATTTCATAGAACTTACAAAATTAAGTGAAAATTTCATATTTTATGGAAAAATTGTGTCCCGACAAATACCTGAATAAACGGAATTTTTGGATGTCAAATGTTCATTTCAAAAGAGTTTTTTTCTCAGTTACACATAGGTCGCAAAAAAGTCGTGTTCGAGGTTGCGCCGCCTGGACATACCATTGCTTACAAAAACATTACTAATTTGTTAAAAAATAAAATTTATGATTTATGGTTTATTCTATAGATAGAAAAGATAATGCTAACTAGATATTTTAAAATTCATTGATGTGCCTAAAGCGGTTTTAATTTTATAGCGCTAGTCCACGAACTTTTTGATAACCCCTCGTAGTTACAAATTAATTTATAAGAAAAAAAATTTATGACATTAAAAAAAAAAACAACAAACCAAAATTTATGAAACTTGTGCGAAAAGCACTCCTAGGTAGTAAGAATTCAAGTTTGTTCAAATCATTACCCGTGGGGGGAGGGTCACAACAAAGTTTTACATTTGAATACATAGAAGGTTGTTGTTGTTGTTTTTAAAATTTTCTCTAGAATAGCAAAGCTGTGATTGGTCATATTCACTGTAAAAAATAAGTGTTTTATAAATAAACACCATATTGCAACAGATAATAAACATTTCAACATGTTTAGAATTTAAACACCTCAAGAAGTGTTTAAGAAATAAACACGTTAGAATGTTTAAATTCTAAACACACGAGGTTTAATATTCAACACTTCAAAAACACAAAATGTTTAAAAATTAAACACTTAATAAACACTTAGAGTTTACTAAATAAACACCGTGAGTGTTTAAAATTTAAACAGTTCATGTTTAATTAATAAACGTGTTCAACCTAAACACTTAAACATGTTTATTCGATGCAACAGATAATAATCACTTAAACATGTTTATAAGTCAATTTTTAAACACTTCAATGTGTTTATTTTACAAAATAAATGAATACTTAAACGTGTTTATAAGTTTTCAACATTTTTATTTGAAACAAATATAAATCAGTACAAAACACACTGTGGTTGATAATGAATATGTTATACATAAAGCTTTTTTTGTTTTATTAATAAATGATTTAATGTTGATTGAGGGTTCAAACTTTATAAACAACTGAAACATTAAATAACACATTTACCAACACATGGATACATTATTCAATTTTAGTTGAAAAAATAGAATTCTAAAAATAAACTAGCATGAACATGTTAAACCTGCATGTTTAAACTAAACTCCAATAAATTGGTGTCGGGAGGGGGGGTCTTTGAAATATGAAAAAAATACATTATCGCTTAATAAAATGTTTTGTTTTTTTTTAAAAGTCTAGGTAATCCTTAACATCTTTTTTAAAAAATAAAACAAGCAAAATGACGAATAAATATGATGCAAAAAAACTGAAAATAATATTTGTTGTCTGGGTACGGCATGTATAATATGTACTTGTATTACACTAATTAATCTAGTTGTAAATGTTACAAGTTTATACTTTCACAAATATTCAGATTTTTAACCAAATGAAGAAAATATCCAGTTTTGACCTGTAAAGAACCAATTCTTGCTACTAAACAAGAGCTGCAGGGGTATCACTCACTTAATATCCATATCATATTCTAACCGAGTTAAACAGTCTAGCTCCTCTGGTTGTGGGTAAAATTCAGGTTCTTCTACAACGGATGATGATCTCCAGTTTTCCATTCTCCAAAACTGTATTCACCCCAAGTAGTTTTAATTCCTTCATATCCTGAAAGATGAATGAAAAAATATTCACTATGCAAATTCAGATAATTATCTGTAAAAGAATACATAAAGATCGAAAAAAAATTATTATTTTTCTTCACGCCAATTTTAATTATATTATACATACTGAGAAACAAGTTTGGAATAAAAATCTGCAATTCAAATACCTGTAAATCATACATGTATAAGCGTACAATCTGTACACTAAAAAAATTAAATGTTCATGTACCTGTAGGAGCAGCCCAACAGCAAAAATTTAGAGAGAGAGAGGGGGGGGTACCTTGTCCCGAGGCATTTTCACTACTGTAACTAAAAAGCACTGAGAATCCAACAAAACCCTGAGGAAGTACTGAGTGGTACTGAGAAAACCCTGAGTTGTACTGAGTAACTGAGGAAGTCCTGAGTAGCACTGAGGTTTTTACTGTGTACACTGAGGACATACTGAGAGGTACTGAGGTTGACTCTGTTGGTACTGTGGAGGTACTGAGAGATACTGAGGTGGTCCTGAGGCTCTGAGCTGATACTGAGTAGCCCTGAGTTTTAATACTGTTGCTACTGAGGTAATCCTGAATGACACTGAGACTATTTTTCTCAAAAATTATTATTTTATTATCAGACTTATTGTAATCTATTGTTCAAATTTTTTTTATTTATAAACTTTCTTCAAATCAAAATGAGTAGGTACAAGTATCGTCAACAATAAAACTGAAATTATGTTTGCTTCTTGTTCATTTAATTAATTAAATTTTTTGCATAATTTCTTTTGAACTTTTACAAGTATATTTAATTAAGTCTTCTAAACATATTTTTTTAATGAAATATATCTTGTTTATTTATTTATTTATTATATCAACCAATTAGTTAAATATTAATTATTTAGGAAATTTAGTTTTTCAAAATTCATCCAACCAATGTTAAACATCATGATAAATAGTAGTTCCTGTCTAATAATTCTTGATCCACATCTGAAAATTTAAATTAAATTTCTGCTGTGCTAATACAAAATCGTTAATGTCGTAAGGATAATGGTGATGCTTTTGACATATTCTACTGCATGGCACATATAAAAATTTTGATGAGCAGGTTGCAATCACAATGACAGAAAAAAGTTTCAGCAAGTCTCAAAAACCTTTTACTTGAAAGTTGTTCGTTCCTGATGATCAAAATTATGAAAATAAATCAAAACAATCGTCTAAATATTGATATTAAATTAATAAAGAAATAATTCAAACAAAAACATTTTTCAATGGTATTTAATCAATTTAAGCAGAGATAGAGAAGAAATATGGTGATGTGTCACAGATTAAATTTACAACTTGTTTATTAGAAATAAATTTACTGTCAAATAAAATAATATTGAAAAGATGTATTTTGACTGACCTTACCATTCATTGTGTTTTTTAATGCTATTAATATCATCAATATTTATGCTGTTGCTGCGGCATCTTAAAAAGAAAATATTTAGAATTTCAAAATCATATCTCGTTTTTCATTGTTGTCATCTTCTAAATTTTGTATTTACTCCCACTCAGTTTAAATTCAATATGTAGAATATAACACTTAATTTACCGGGTCAGTAAAAACTTGTAGCTGTCACTTTGTAAATTTTGTATTCACTGTCACTCAGTTAATGCTTAATTTTACAACTTAGAAATTATGAAAATAATTTGAAAATAAACATGGGGATAACTGAAAGTTTTGTTACATGTGCTTGCATAATAAAATGAACATCGACAGCAGAAAATAATATTTAAGTTATTGTATATTTTTCTTTATATCCAGGTTTTATTTTGAATAAATTCGCAATTTATTTAACACATACGCACATGATTTAAAAATTCTGCTAAGACTGAATGCACAAAAAAATTAAAGAAAAAGTAGTTAGAATCTTTAGGAGATCTCTATATAAAACACATGGTGTAAACATGTCTACTTGTTATAATGATATTAAATGAATTGAAATAATACTGTCGTCGATTTTTTGGTTGTCTGTCTATGAGACTGATAGCAAGTATACTCTGCGCTTGATTTATATGTACCGGGAATTTATTATTGTCATAGCTGCTCATATATGTTTTCTTCAAGAAATAAAATACAGAAAATGAAAAAAAGACTTTAACTCCACTGAATAAAATCCATGTTTTATTTTACTGGTTCTAATTACGCTACAGTATTTATTCGCTGTAATCAAGTCCTACTGCCGATCGGTTAGAGTGCAGCAATAATAATTGTCACGAATAATTCAGTTAATGTAGACGTCCCTCCTATTGATACCCGTTTACAGTAAAATGAAGTATGTTTAACTCAAAATGTTTCTTTTATCTTCTTTTCATTTTAAAAAAATAACTAATACCATCAGATTATAAAACCCAAGCCATACTATGAACTCCATATAAAAATATAGCTTAGTCGGAAACAGTTGTTTAGTGTATAATTGTGAACAATAAAACTTTTTTTTTATTTATTAAAAGATGTTTTTTATTTAACACTGCAGCGTATTCGTGAATATGGATATTGTACACAAACGGAAGCGCTTTGAAGTACTACACTGGCACTGGGTGGACAAACGGAAGCTCGGTGAGGTACTTAACACACACGGAAGCTCTGTGAACTACACAATGCGGTAGCGAAAAACAAGAACAATAGGTGTCACTTCTGTATATATACAGACGGGCACCTGCCGGATATCACTAGCAGTCAGTTATGCAATGTTGACCCGACAGCTAGACTCAGAACGCATCTTCAGAACAGCCTGACCCTTTTTTTTCATTCTCTCTCATTTTTTCATTACAGAAATTCATTGAAAAACACAGAAAGATTTAGATTAAATTAGCGATGCATTCATAAATATTTTCCAAATAGTCCAACTGGTTTCAAGATTATATTCATATTTTTAAAGATTACATGAAGTTTTATCTCTACTAATCCGATCAGTTTTAAACAAATTAATTATCTAAATATACTAGTACAGTTTCCCTAATAATAAGAAGTTTTCTATAAGCGATACACATAATTATCTCCCAGGATCCCCTTAAAAAAGGAATAATCAGAAATATATCAGAAAGAAAGAAAAACAGTAGATTAGAAAAATCATTTTGATGAAAATGGCGATTACTTAATGGTTTACTTTACTTTCCATAAAGCAAAAAAACAAGTTTTCTTTATCTTAGACAGATTTTATGTTTTATTGTTTTATGATCTGATCTGCAATAATTTCTTTTGTTGATATGACAGCTGCAATCTTTCCGTTTTCTTCACAAAGTTTTCTAATTATCCTATTAGTGCAATAGTAGTAATAATTAACATCGTAATTGGAATGAATTTGTTGAATGTATCGGTTTCTCTTCACCATCCTTTATATATAGGATGTTTTTAAAACTTTTGCGAAATTTAAAATTTATTTTCTCTCAATTCAGGAAGAGCGTGGTTCACTGTTGTAAACGATCGGATGTCGCCGTAACTTTCAGACATCGGGAAATAGCATCAAATTTCTTTATTTTCAGCGATGGTTTTGTTTAGAATCTTTATAGCAAATATTTTTTTTTTCACAAGTAAATGTACTAGTATTCGTTCTTGAACTAGTATGTAATATAAGTATATGGGCAGTTTAGGACCAACTAAAAATAAAAATAATATGTAGTATACAAATGGCAAAACAATTGGAAAACAAAAATTGCATAGTAGTTTCATGAGTCCTACGTGTATTATATAACCATCTGAGATTAACGGCAGAATTCACAAAAGATATTGGAAAAGAAAGAGGCATGTCACTATAAGAAAAAAAATTATGACCTGGTTATTGGCAAGCGAAAATTGCTGCTTTATACATATTTATTTATCGATTTATTTGATAAGACTGATTTCGGAAATAAATGAGTTTTAGTAAGTGGTAAATCCAGACGTGTAAATTAAGTTTTATAACAATATTCTTTGTAATTAATTGTTATAACGGAGAGGATGTGTGTTCTAAGACTTAAGAACTTGTGTCCGATTCTTTTGTTACATCTAAACAATAAAATATTTTTGAACCAAGCCAAGCGGTAACTTGAAATAAAAATATCCCCGTACATCTGACATTTCAGTTAGTAAGTACATGAGCACCTAATTCCATGCTTGCAGAAATCGCGTGTTTAACATGGAAAAGCCAACGATTCATGTGACCTCGACATGCTGTAATAATTATTCATACTGATGAGAAAAGTAAAAAAAAAAATGTACATGTACGTAAAGCATAAATCCATTGTTTCATTTCTGACAATACCCTATCATTTCACTGGCCTTATCAACAGGTATAAATTAGTTCAAAAAACCACAGCTGTTATATTTATTTTCCGCATCACTCTCGATTTATATATAGTGCAGAGTAATGTACAGAGTAAAAGATGGTAAATATTTCAGTTCATTGACACCTCGCAAATATCTTTTTAAAAGAGTAACAGATGAATTGAAATATAAAGAATCGCACATGAATTTACATATAAGTTGTATATCCTATTTTTTTTATAATATCACATAAAACAGATCAAAATTACCACCGGTATTATACAATGAACTGGAAAGGGGGGGGGGGGGCACTGCATGATTGACGCGGGTATAGTCGCATAAAGTGTTTATCATGCGCTGCCTAATAAAACTTAAAGTTTAATGCACAAAGAAAGTTCTTTTACAAAGAAAATTTACGTTACACATATCAGTTTTAACATGTTTAACAGTCGAAAAGAATTAGAGAATTATGTATATTCATGCACACAACCCGACTTTAATACATGTAGAGCCTTCTGGATATCAAACTGTTATATATTTAATTGGCGAATGCTTAGAATTATTCATTTCAATCTTTATTATGCATAATTGTTATGGGAAAAGCTTTCATATTAACGACGATCATGATGGGAGTTCAAATGAAAACCCTTTGATGAGCAATTTACTTAATAAACAATGTGTACACATAGTGTTGCGAAGGGGGTTGGGGTATATTCCTGATAACGTATTAGAAATTTAGAA